TCGGCCCAGTCTCGAAAATGTTGTAGCCCAGAAAATGTGTCTGGCAGTCTGTGAAATGTCATTTGTCAAATGCACTTTGTGTCAGTGTCTGTCCGCCTGTCTGTCTGTCTGTCTGTTTGTCTGTCGCGTTACCCTCTCTCTTCTCACCTCAACGCTTTTGATGTGCAACTGTCACAGACATGCGGGTGAGTTTGTCTAAATTCCCAGGAAACATATTGAAATAGAGCAGGACTAATAGCGAGAGAGAGAGAGAGAGAGAGAGAGAGAGAGTGAGAGTGAGAGTGAGACAGAGGCAGCTGTCGTCCGTGTGCTGGCTAATTTATGAGTCAATTAGTCTGCCCGCTAGCCATGCATAAATAAATATAGTACTACATCTAAATATCATTATTATAAATTATATATGATAAATATGTATGTATGTATGGCATGCCATCCAACAAGGTGACAGCCGCCGCATCCCCGCGTCGATTTAATTGTCTTTTTGGTTTATGACTCGTTGAATTTGGGACATGCCTCACCCACTCAAACACTTGCACCACAACCATGCAGCACAGTTGCACTGTTGCACAATGCCAACATTGTTGCGGCACTTTTGGTGGCAAACGCGTCGCTGCAAGTTAAGTGCCCTGTTTGATGCTGTTGCAGCCAAGAATATATGGGTTAATGTTCGGGGCGTGTGCGCGTAGTAGTTAAGAGCTTTCGATCTGAATACGTTCCGATGCATTCTGCAATTGAAATCAAATGAGCTGCAATTGGGCACAAGAAGAATATAAGAAACAAACAAAATGGATGAATGAATGCGCAACGAAACTAAATTAGAGGAAGACGGGAATTCCCCTCGAGTGAAATTAAATCACATTTGTTTCACACAATTTTCGAACTTTGTTACAATACGTTTCTTCAATGTTAGCGGGCATTTGGCTGGAACTTGTGTTTTCTTTGTAAGTATTAACAAGAGTTTGAAGACGGTCGCATAAACACGAAAATTTGCATTCAAAGTTCTATGCTCACAAATTCCCCTGAGATGGATCTACAATGCCGCCCTTTAAAAGCAATCTTAAATAAACCCTCGATTATATACCTTTCACAAATATTTTTCAAAGATTTTCACAAAGATGAAAACATTGAAAAATTGCTTTGGGGCCAGTCCAAACATCCATCATACAATTGTGTTTCGCTAATTTTCCACTCTAACGGGTGGAATTCGCAAGTAAAACAAAATACAATATCAGCGGTTTCTTACGGCTTAGGTTATGCGTTAACCGCCAATCAGTCAGAAAGTCAGGAAAAAGAATGTGTTTTTAGATCATATCACATAGTTATATATGTCCAGGCTTAGTAAGATATCCTTAAGTCAAAGGACGTAGATTGCATGAGAGCACGGCCGCCAAAGATTTCTCAAAGATTCAAAAATAAAACAACAACAATTCGAGTCTATAAACAAAAAGGTCGACTCTAAAAACGTGATTAATATTATTTATACAATTATTTTGTGTATTTTTTAAATATGTAAATAATTTTCCTGGCAACACAATATATAAGTATAAGCACCATCGTCTGAATATATTGAATATCAAATTGGCTGCATAATTAAAACCTTTACGCAAATTCAAAATACTAATAAACTGAACTGCTGCAACAAGAACAACAATAACTGCAGCAATAATATTAACAGCAACAACAACAATAACAACAACAAGCTGGCAACAAACAATGGCAACTAAACATCCGGCGGAGGTCAGAAAAGTACGAAAAGCTCATAAATAAAAGGCAGCTGACACGCTGCAGGCGAAAAACAACTAAAAGCCAACATTTGCAATCCCACGAACCGAAATAAATATTTTTATTTTATTTTTTTCTTCATTTTGGGCGCTGTGGCGATAAAAACAAGTGGGTAAAATCTGTGTGTCATAACAATACCCGTTACATCAATAATAACTTATAAATTTGTAAATATTTTATAAATGGCACATAAATTAACACAACTAATGCCACGGCACACAAGAGCCCAGCACAAGAGCAACAAAAACAACGACTATTTTCATGATTTGTTGCACGATAATAGCAGCAGTTGCAGCTGCAACCAAAAAGAGTCACAGTTGACATTATTCTCGCTTTATCTAAATGCACTAAATAAAGCACACATGCACAGATACACACAGATATTCCGTAGATAGATATTCCGTACATAGCCAGACATTTGGTCTGGGCTTATCGGCCGGGCAGGGCAGGGCAGGGCCGGGGAGTTGGGGAAAAACTGCATAAATATTATAATATGATTTACAAGCGGATGCTGCCAGAGCGCCGAAACTTTAACGGGCGATAAATACATAATATTTTTTGAAAATCCATTTTACAAAACAGGATGTTTACCACGAAGTTGGGAAACTGTTCTCGGGGAATACAATATGCAATTGGCGACCCATTCATGGGGATGAGCTATTTTGGGCAATATTTTCTAGCCAAACGCATATGTTTTAATTTTATGCTGGAAAAAGTGTTGACTTTTTGATCTCTCTAATAGTTCCAGGTCCAACCAACAACAAGGTGTAAGCACCAAAGAGTTAGCAGGTTGTCTCAAGAATCTCTTTTCAGGGGCTATCACAGAGTCGCTCGCAGAGTCTGCTGATGATAGTATTCCAAGTATTATCGTTAAGAGACCTTAACAGCTCCTTTCCGAAAGAAATTTGACCAAAGCTTTTTTTATTAATACTCCGTTCACAGCAAGTGGGGTTTGGGCCAAAGCCATGTAATGTCAAAAGATCGAGTATCAATTTGATGATCAAATTTAAAAATGGGCTCTGATTTTTATTTAATTGCAAATATTATATTGTTTTTTTTTTTTTTTTTTTTTTTTGAGTTCTCAGTAGCTCATTAGCCCATTTATAAAATGAATGATTATTATTGAAATAAATTACTATTTTCAAGATTGTAAAAATTTGTAAATTGAAAAGCATTTTTTGTGTTTTTAAATTATATATTATAATATTAGGTAATATATATTAGCTTTTCGGGAATATGATTGAAGTTTTAATGCAGTTTACAAATGTATTTAACAACTAGACGACAAGCTTATACATGTATTTCTTTAGCTCTTTAATTTATCAATTATACGGTGTAAGGCAGCTTGACATAAGGTAGATAGAGTTGTGTTGTGTCAACGAGTGATAGATTTGGCAGATGACGCTCTGCAAGGCACCTTCAAGTAAAATCCTAAGCAAGAACTGTCTCCAGCTGAAAATATCTGCACATGGAACGTATTTAGCTGCTCATTCCAGTCTCGAGTCGCAGAAATTCAACTCGAGGAGGAGGCAACAGTCTCAACCTTCGTTTGAGCGTTTGGGAACTGGCAGTGGGAGCTGGAGTACAGGTCTTGATGGGGCCATGCGCAAGCTGTGTAAATGTTTATGTTATTGATTAATTACATTTACAACAATCAAAGTTCATTGATTGATACCAATCAAAACAAGGCAAAGACAACAATAACAACTGCGAACAGCGAGTGCAACATGCTGCAATGAATCTTCCACTTGAAGTGGAAATGACTGACTCAATGAGCCAGCGAGAGGCTGGCTGACTGACTGACTGACTGAACGAGTCAGTGAGTGAGTGAGTGAGTGAGTGAGTGACTAAAAGAATGGAGAACATATCTAATGCTCGTGCTGTGCCCCTCACTGCGCCCCTGGTTGCGTGTTCAGCTCTTGTCGGTGTCGGTGCTTGTACGGCATTTGTCTGTTTGTTCGCGCTGCTTTGATCTTGTTTTTTGATCTTCACTCGCTTTGATTGATCAATTAAAATCATTTGTAAACAAGTTCTGCTGACGACGATGACGCGGCGAAAGACCAACTGAAAGACGTCGACCGGCCTCTGAGATTTATTTGGTTTCTATTTTGGTAGGCCACAACAAACAGTTCGCCAACATGTGACAACAATGCGATGAGCAGCACGTTCTGTTCCCAGTTTCCGTTCCCGTTACCCGTTACTCGTTACCCACTACCAGTTACCAGTTACTAGTTACCAGTTACCAGTTACCAGTTACCAGTGACAAGGCAGCACTCGCATCTGCCCTTGCCAAAGCTCGCATTGTGCATTTTTATAGTTGTCAGTGCGTTGCCAGTCAAGTGTCAGAAACATTTGCAGCCCGCCCGCCCGACTTCCAAACGCAAATGCACTTACGAACGACAGACGCGACAGAGCGACAGACACGACAGACACGACAGACGCGACCAACTGACAATTCACAATTCACAGTTCACAATTTGCAAGTTGCGACTCGCAACGCTCTGACGATGACAGGCAAACAGAAAAATATGTACGATGAGCAATTCGCATTGTTCGCCAGATATTACACGACTCAGTCACAATTCTCATTGTTGTTGTAGTTGTTATTGTTGTTGTTGCTGTTGTCGAATGCAAAGCTTGTTGTTGTTGGGGCCTGCTCTGACTGGCGATTGCTCTGACATGGCTGACGCCTTGATTAAACTGTCATTTAGCTTCATTTATTTTGACATAAAACTGACAAGAGGCCACCATTCTAAGTGGCAACTTGAAATGCATTTTCAATTTAATACACAACAGTCGACATCATTTTGACTGACCTTATAAAGCAAGTGTAAATCTATATGTGTGTATGTATAAACAATTTTTTTTGAAAATTTATAATTTTTTTAGATCATATAAAGTATATTTAGACTCTTCATCTGTTCATAAGGGATTTATTTAATTTCATTGCTAATGTGAAAGGTATTTCATAATCAATTTTATATTCTAATTAGATTTTTTTAATCTACTTTCAAGAAAAAACCTTGATTGAGTCACAGTTCACTTTTATCCCTTTAGGGTCCTTACCTCTCTCACGTACTCTTCAGATTTCTTGAGGTCCGAACGTAAAGTCTGATTGCCGCAAGTCATTCGAGGAGCACTCATTTATGCAAAATAACAAGTGATTAAAACTCGTATTCGCCGATATAAAGCTGTCACTGAACATAAATTACAATATGTCAGTTTCAAGAACCTTTGACTTTTATTAATGTAAACATGAAAAGCAACACGCATGCTGAACAACTAACTGAAAAGCCGAGATAAACTCGAGACCAAGACCCAGCCCCAGACCCAGACCCAGACCCAGAACCAGAGCCGGTCCTCAACGACGCCTGGGAGCGCTGACAGCCTGTGTTGTTGGTATGTGAGTGAGTTAAAGTCTGTGGATCAGCCATAAAAAATATATGCAATACGAAAGCGAGAGAGAGAGAGAGAAAGAGTGAGATAGAAAGAGAAAGAGAATAGATTGAAGCGTAAAGGAATCTCGAGTGAAGTGTTTGCTGATTTGTTGCTACTCGAAGAAGATGCAACACTTGGGGCTTGCTTTTGATTATGCTATATTTGTGTATGAATCCCATACTCATACTCATACTCACACTCACACTCGCACTCATACTCGTACTTGATTTTGTATCTATGCAGTGCTTGAGCTCACTTAGCGATCATATCATTTTGACATGCTCGTGTGTTTAAGCTGTCAAATTGCCTGCCGTCTGCGGCTGCTGACGATGCTCTCTAGCTGTCCCGTCCCATTCCATTCCATTCCGTTCCGTTCAGTGCTTCCTTGCTACTCCTCGACTATCTTTTCACGTTGCCCGACTTTACTATGCTTCACTCTAGTCCAATCCCTCCGACTCTCTGCTGGCCTGGCCTAGCCTGGCCTAGCCCGGCTCGGCCCGGCCCGGGCTGTCTATTTGTATCTAGACAGGCACTCGGCCTTATGCCTCCTTAAGTTGACGTGTTACGCTGTCAGCGTGGAGAAAACCTCAATTTCAAGCTGTCAGTTTGTATGTCAGCTCCAACTGACAGTTCTCCACAATGTCGTTGTCGTACTCGTTGTCGTTGTTGTTGTTGTTGCTCTTGTTGTATCTCTTTCTACTCATGTCTTGCTTTTGCTTTTGCCTTGCTTTTGCAGACTTGCCACTCTTTGCACAGATACAGATACACTTACAGATACTTAGATGGACATTTGAATAATGCGCGCACAGCAAGCCCAACAAGGCTGCAACGAAGCTTTGTTATGGGCTGGACGTATGTTTTATGGGTAAGTTGTTATTGGCCACTTAAAAAAGTAAACGACAACTTATTTACCGAGTGGGGGAAAATATGGAGAATTTAGCGTGGAATAAATGAAGTGAAGGGAATAATAATATATTTATAATAATATTGATGCATGACTATTAAATATTTATTTTAAAAATGAATGTCTGTCACTTCAATGGAAGCTAGTCTTATGCATTGCTAAGAGTAGCTGGCCGTGTTAAGTATCATAACTAAGGAGTTAGATAATGACTTGCCCAAACGTAGACTGAAAGTCGAGTTCACATAGAGTCGTTAATGCGGCAGCATCCGTTTTATAGTCGTCGTCTTTGGCATGTAATGTTCTCGAGCGATAAATTAAGCTGTGAACATTTGCTCGATTTGTAGAGAGGTATATTCGCAATCCTTTATAAGTGCCGCTGCCCCAGCTGCCCCAGCTGCCCCAAGTGGCTGAGCTGCCACAACTGCTGGCCCAACTGGCCGGCAGCTGCCATGTCGTTGCACTGCGTCGGACACAAAAGATTTACGATTATGGCGCGACTATTAAAAAGTTTCGCCTCTCGCACACCTCTCTGTATCAACTGAGCCGAGCCAAGTGAACCAACTCACTCAAGCCCACATTCAAATTCAAAACAAAATATTGTAAAAAGCACAAACAGCGTGACGACTTTGCAGCCAGCTCATGGCATCGACTACGGCTCTTGGCATCGGCAACGGCATCGGCATCGGCATTGGCATCGATTAATTATGTGTGGAATTTGGTTTATTGAGTACGAACCGCCTTTAAATTGTCTAAAAGACCAGAGAGCCAGAGCTGTCAGGGCCCCAGCGATCGCATCTGAACACCAACAAGAACAGCGACGGCAACGGCAACGGGTTTCAGCGGCTGACTATGCTGGTAATTTATGAGTTTAACTATAATTTTTAACATTTACGCTGCGCCTGCGTGCGCTTGCAATATGACAATTTCACAAACTTAAACTGGAATCCGGCAAGGGCGGGGAGCCACTGGCGACTGTATTTGGACTTTATGTAGACAGCTGCTGGTCAATTGAGTTGGCGTTACCCACCGACAACTCGACCGACCAACCGACCGACCGACCGACCGACCGACTCCAACTCGCAGACAGGGTCTCTTTCACAGCGGCAACCATTTTGTTGGTTTCGATTAGACTGTTAAGTTGTCAACCTGAAATTGATTTGTAGCCGGCCCAATCGTTTTTGCTCCAATGTGTCTCTGGCAGGGAATTGCTCGGAGCCGACTGAAATGAATGTCACAGAAAAGTGCAGCTTAAAGGTGTTGTTCGCTGGAGCTGCCAACTGATCATAAATCTATCCACGAATCCATGGATACAATTCCCAATTATTTGTTTTTCACAAATTATAGTCCGTTTGTACCACAGCTATGCATCGAATTCATAGACTGGAACCTTCAAATTTAATACAAATGAAAAACAAGAGAGATGTAGCTTAGTATGCATATATACAGAACAAGTATCCTAGTTGAGAGTGACCAATTTCAGCCACGTTGTTAGTGCTATTATCCTTTTGAGAATAAAGGAATATTCTATAGCACAATTGAATCTACTTTCATCAAGATCGGTTAGGAAACAGAGAAGTTATTAAGGAAAACGTTTTGTGGCAGGCCACGTGTTTGCAGCAGCTAGCGCAAAGTCCAAGAATTTCCGTATACATACATGTTCACACATGCATACACATAATAAGAATTGCAATTTCATTTGTATCTTTTATGGCGCTTTTTACTTTTTCTATTATTTTAGTTCAGTTTGTTTTCATGCGAACAACATTTTTGGTATGACTGTGAAGTAAAGTTAAAGAAAATATTTTATTATATACAAGCTTCATATGGTTTTTGAAGAAGAAGGTACAGAGTATTTCGACTGGCGCACTCTTACTTAGTTTGTTAAAATCTGCACAAAAAATTAGATGACAGTTAAGAAATTATATGTCCAACAGAAATAAATATTATATGTGACTAATCGGGGCGCGGTAAGTCGTAAATGTTTGATGTGCTCAAAAGCCGTACTAAATGCCAAATAAGGTGTCATTGCTGTTTTTCGTCTTATCAAAATCTTTGGCATTACGTGAATTGGACTTCGACTTCGATTGACGATTGACGATTGACTAATCATCTTTCAAAATCCACTGCGATTACGCTTAATGCACACTCGAATCCACTCGCATTTCCAGCTCACTGAGCTGGAGATTGTGACTTTCCGAGTGTACTCCGCAGGCCTGTCTATTTGTATCTCTGTCTGCGTGTGTTCGTTAGAGCGAGCGTGCGAGTACGTAAAAAGCTCTTTGAAATGGTTGTCAGTTTCGGTTTCTGTAGCTGTACTTGTATCTGTATCTGTATCTGTATCTGTATCTGTATCTGTATCTGTATCTGTATGTGTTCTGTATGTTTATGAGTTGGCGTTCGCTTCAAAGGAGTGTGCGACGTCTTTGACGGCAACGGATTTAAGCGCTCCCCTCGGTACTGCACACAAGCCTGTGTACCGACTATAATCTGACATTTAATTAATAATAAAGTTGACAGTTTGTTTTGAGTGACTGTGACAGTTTTAATTGAGATTTGTTTCCACCATGCGCTACACAGGCGAGTGTGCGGCTTATAGATCTTTTCAGCTCTTCTTGTCATTCAATGCTACCGTAATGCTTACATTGCTCCATGGACATTTTATTGGCGATGCATTAGATAACAATTGCTTTGATTGCATTCAGCGCAGTTGTTGAAGCAATGCGAACACATATGCTAAATAGATTTTGATAATGTTTTTTAATTCTATATCATACTAAGTAATAAAAACCAACATTTCCATATCTGGGCTACAAACAGGGTTTGAATCGAATAGGTTAACCTATTAACCTGGTAATAAAATTTGTTCATCATTTACCAAAGGAGTAGCCTTTAAAGGGCATATAAGATATTGCAAACTAGAAACTAGGTAAAATAAACAAAATTAAAGATTGAAAAAAATATGTGAAACTAAGGCAGAAACTATAAAAAGAGTCCTCGAAAAAGGTTTAATGAACCGGTCCAATAACTGTTTTTTTTTTTTTTAATTTTTTCCAAGAGTAAATATGTATCTACTGGCATTGGTAGTTCATATTCCTTGAACGAACTGTTATAAAAAGTATATGTCATAATCAGCGTTACTTCTGGATCCCCTTAGTGGCTGTCTAGTGACCGCTGCCGCTTTGATCTTTAAGAGCACCTCTCGCTGTAAAGCCAGCCGACACTCTACTCACTCCGCTGGCCCACGGGCTGTAGGGCATAGAAATCACTTGAAAAGCCGAGCACCTACAACAACATTGCTGCCACTCAAAAGTCCCGTAGCACTTAAGTGCTGAGCGTGGGGCCTATCACAGTGTGTGGGTGTGTGTGTGTGTGTGTGTGTGTGTGTGTGTGAGTGTGTAGTCAACTCGATTTAGAGGCGATTAGCGCACAAAACACAAGTGGCATGTTTTGATGATGATCATCAAGCGCGTCTGATTGCCGGCAATCAAATGATGATGTATGGCTGGGCGGGTGTGTGTTGTTGTTAACGGCGAGGGAGGGCGGGGGCGGTAAGACAGACACGCGTAAAAACGCTTTCAAATTGAGTTGTTTTAGCGTCCTGCCGCACCGCCCATTCAGCTGAACTCTTTCAACGCAGAGCGTAGAGCGATAATTGAGTTTTATGATTGACACGACAACTTTGCTTTTTAAATTGACATAAATTTCAATATGCCGCGTTGCGAATGAGCGAACAAAACAAACCGAAAGAGAAACGTGCACAAAGCGAACAAAGCAAACGAAGCGAACAAAAAAAAAAAAAAACATTAAAATCCGTCGAGCTGCGATCTCTGCCCATGGTTGACTCTCTATCACAACAATAAATTGTGCAATAAATTTCAATTACTGTTATTCTGCCAGCATACACGAAATACAAACACACATACACACACACACAAGCATAAATAAGGAATACAAAAAAAAAAGGAAATAAACAGCACATTGCTGCCGACTGCGAAATACTCTTTTTACAGCGCGAAAGTCAATGTACAATGGGTGGGTCATGAATGATGGACGGATGAACTGTGCATGAAATCAAAATATTATTTTTTACTGTGAACTGGACATGCCAACAAAGCAGTCTCTTACGACGTTCCGAAAATATATTATCCTTTCTGTTATATATGTTGCATAACAGATTTAATTTGGATGTAAACTTCTTCCTTTTGTTGTTTTGAATTTATAGAGCTCGTAAATTCGTAATGAAAATACATTATATCAAAAGTTCTACTACATTATAATAAAGTTCCGATGTGAGTGGAAAATATATGCATATGAATGAAATTCATATATCGAATGAAACTGACAACGAAAAGGTATATCCCCTTGGTGGCTAATATTGATCGAGAGTACATACATACTTATGTGTATATACACATAGTTAGTTTTTGTGGTCTTGATATGTGTTACAAACCTAATGATAAAATAACTATACTCTCGGCAAGAGTCTAAAACTTGTAGGCATGGCGTATAAACTGCTAAAGTGGCGGGGCAAACCCCAGAGAAACATGTGCACCCAAATTGTGATAAATTTTATGTTAAAGTGCATGAAATTATATGGCGACACATTTGGGCACTCATAAATTTTATTTAAACAATTTACAATTGTCATTCCACAATTGCCGTTCACTGCTTCCCCTCCTTCTCAGTCAAACCTCTCTCTCGCTTCTCCCTCTCTCTTTCTTTCTGGTTCTATGAACCTTTTGGGACTTTTAATTGCGTATTTCAAGCTGATATGTAAATAAAATTATAGGGTATGCATATATGTTTGTATGTACATACATAACTGTTGGCACATTCGAGTGCGAAGTGCTTAACGCAAAAATTATTAGACATACTTATTGTTTTTCTTATATCTTATTAATTCTATGATTTGCGTGACTGTTAATGATAAATATATTTTCTGAATTGTATAGGAAAACTTGGAACAAGTCATATAATATATGTACATATGTACATAGTTGCCAGACTTTGAGAAGATGCGTAACGAACATTCGTTCGTGGAAACGCCAACAACAATTTGGTTGGTCGTTTCAGAAGCAAAGTCAGGGAAATATGCGTATTTTGTAAATGCATGTTTCTTTCTTACATATTGAAGGACACCCCCAGGGCAATTGAATTCCTGTTAGTGGGTACATGCTCTAGTCCTTGAACAGAGCTGTCTGTGTCAAAACTCAATCAAATAACATCAAAGCAAATGTCGCCAGATCCTCGCAAGTGGTGGCCAGTGTGGGCAAGTAATGCATCAGGGTGGGGGCAATGTGCCCAAGCGACTCGACTCAGCCATCCAACCCAGCTCTCGACCAGCTCGAAGTGCTCAGTTGGTTGCCTGCCAGTGGCAGACGCCATCGTCATGGTCGTGCCGTGGTCTCGTTTCTGTTTCTGTTTCTGTCTGACAACTTACTTTGGCATTTGGCTGTCAACATGCTGTCAGACATTTAAACAATAAATGACCAAACACTTTTCATTATGTTGCTCTTTGCGGTTGCTGCTGCTGCTGTCAGAGACAGCAGGCCAAGAATGAAGGCCGAAAACTGAATGCCGAATTCCCAATCCCCAATCGCCAATCCCGAATCGAGAATCCCAGAAGCGAAAACTGAAGGAGAGCAAAGAGATTTGTCGACTGGCAAGCAAAGTGAGCAAAATTTGCTTTGATGCCCACCGACAAACAATGCGAAAAATCAACCAAACAATATGTTAGAGTAGTTCGATTCCCCGACGGATCGGGGCGGGGGCTCGAGTTCTCGACATGCGTATGCATGATTTGGGCCCTGATGTGGGTCAAAGTGGCAACCACTGGCCCTCGCCGCCCGTCATGTGAACTCCACAGAGACAGAGGTCAAAGTTTTACTGCTGTTGCTGTCATAAAAATGTTGCCAAAATGTTGCTCTCGAACACATTTTTTTTTTTTTTTTTTGTGTTTTGTCTGTGGCGCTGTCCGGAGTCCTTTGTCTGATACATATGCGAACCCATTTCAAAAATGTTGACACTCAACATAGGGCAATTAAATTCATTTTTCATTCATTCGCGCTTCTTGTCTGCATGTGTGTGTGTGTGTGTGTGCGTGTGTGTGTGAATTGGACTGTGCTCTGTTGGCCTGGACACAGTTGGCAGCCTTGTTGAAACTAACTGACATATTGCGTTGCCAATTTGAAAGGTTTTCCATGCCCACGGTTTTATTGCCACGAAAATTTGTTAAAATAATTTCCAATTTTCAAGAGGCTGAATTCATATTGCAAAATATTTCGCTTGCTATTTTATGCTGAATAGCATTTTTGCTTACCCTGAATTATTGCCGGAGATTTTGCTATAAACTGCATAAAGGCATTCCATATGTCATTTTCTGCTTAAATCATATTTACATTTGCTGATCCCTGACGAAGGATTTTCACTTCATCTGGGAAGATACATTAGCGTTAGTCGGACTTTAAATATGTCAGGGCCAATCATTTTATAAGAGATATATGGGGAGATATAAGGAAAGTTTTTCTACTCAAATATAAGACATTTCATTTGCCTGCGCTAATATTATTGATTAAAAATCAAGGAAACTTAAATTCATTCTTTATTGAATAATGATGGAGTATAAATTTATTTTTTTAGATTTATGATTTTAATAGACCAAAACTAAGTGAAGAAGTTATTTCTGAAGGCCGGGAAATAGCCGTGCGTATTTCCCAGGCCACAAATACTCAAGCATACTTATAAATACCTGAACGTTTGCTCGAGCCTGGAGAATGTCAGCGGCGTTTTAGTGCCTTTGGCTAGAGCCGCATTAATGGAGCTTAAACACGTTGTTGGAATTTTCTGGTCGCAGAACAAATTGCTTAATGTGTGATAAAGAAATTTCCCTCGCTGGCCTGGCAGCGCCCACGTCAGGAAGGATCTGGAGCTGTCGGGGCTCGTTTAGGCAGCAGCAGCGACCATAAATTTTGTTTTATTTATGAGCATTTAATTTTTGTAACATTAATTTAAACATAACTGCCAAAACATAAATTAGCTTCCGTTTCAAACTAATTATGCCGCCTGCTTCAGTCACAGGGCGACCCCTGCCCCCGCCCCTGGCCCAGCCATGTTCGTGGCGTATCCCCCCTCAGGCCGCTGCTCGTTGTGGCAATCGCTCAAGCATGAAAATCGTTGACTGCACAAAAGGCAGCCTACACCCACACACACACGCACACACACGCACACACACGCACACACACGCACACACACTCACACATGCATACACTAAAACCCTGGCTGAGGACAGACTGAGAGACAAACTGCGAAAGACGCCCCCAGCGCATATATTTGAATAGATGTATGTGTGGTTGTTTCTTCATCTCTCTCTCTCTCTCACACTCTCTTTCTTCCTGCATATCCGACGTTTTCTCTGTCTAACACATACTCACAATGAGCGCCACGCTGCGTTTTATCTTTTTGGCGGGCTCGATGATTGGTCGGGGGAAGCTCCCTAAGTGCCGTTACACATGCACCGCTTC